GCACATACTATGTGAGTCTATTTATATAAAGTTGAAAAATGAATCTCTGGTGTTAGAAGTTAGGGCAGTGGTTACCCTTGGGGTAGTGACTGAAAGAGAATGTGAGGGGGCCTCCTGGGGGGTGTGGTGATGTTCTGATTCTTCACCGGATGCTAGTTCTATGGGATTGCTCATTTTGTGAAATGGCATTGCGGGGTATATTTATGACTTGTGCACTTTTCTGTATGTATGTAATACTTCAAAACAACACATTAAAAAACAGAAGGCAGGACATGACCTCAAAGCAAAGGAGCTGTCTTCAAAAACTAATTTAGCTTTACGGAAGTTTTAGGGAAAATCTATATTTGTTCTTAGTTCTCTAATTTCTCCTTGTACAAGGGTAAATTGCATAATGGCAGGGTCCTGGGGCTGTGAAAATGTCAGTGGGAAACAATACCACGAGGAGCAGAAGCACTGGGACACTCAGGGGTGACATGGTCAGCATCAGCCAGGAGGCGTTCCAAGGCAGGTGCTGCTCAGCAGCTCCTGGGTGCTGCCACACTCATAGTTCACACGCCACTGTCAGGTGCATGCGTGTGTGTATCTAGGAAGATGCTTCCCGACCTGTTGCAGACCATGGCACACGTGGAAAATGACAACATTCAGATGGTATACACTGGGGTACCAGTTGGGGCTCCTGACAGCCAAAGCCGACTAGCCTGGTCCTCCATGTGCCCCCAGGATGAGGGGTGGCAATGCCTTGGCACTCCTGTGGGAACACACGTCTACTTGGAGAGTGTGGAGGAAGACATGGGCCTCCTCTACACATTTTAGGCTCTCTCAACTCGCCCTCCTGTTCCTGGAGAGCCCAGCTCTGAACACGCCTCAGCCAGCCCTGGATGACTGGCACCCTTGCAGTAATGAAGATTGTGGGGTTCAGCGGAGTGATGCAGCATTCGGGTCGCTCCTCTATGTCGTGGCTTCCCCTCATTTCCCTCACCCCCTCCCCACTTCCCACACCCTATTCTTTCCCCCAAATGACACCCTGGGCAGGCTGCACTTGTCTGCTGTCCATGAACATCTCCTAAGCCCCAAATCTCCCAAGGTCCTCTCTTTCCCCATGGTGCTGTTCCCTCTGCCAGGAGTGTTCAGCCTGCTGTCTCTCTGCTTGGACCACCCTTCCCCTGTGAGCACTGCCTGAGGCCACCATTGCATTTTGATTTGGATTACTGGGGTGTGTGTGTGTGTGTGTGAACATTTCGTGGTCCCTGGTTTCCTATTTTGCTCATAGTAGGTGCTCAACACTTGTTTCTCTAAAGACTGCCAGGCTGCAGAGGGACCCTGACATTAAGCCCACCTCCAATGCTGGTCACTCATTGTCTCTTTGAGTCTGAATTTCCCAACTCCTAGGGGACCTGCCTTGCGGCCCATTCCACTACCAGGGGCATGGAACCATGCAGCCAGGATGAGACACGGCTTCTCACTCAGGCCCCCAGCTCACACCGCTGGGATTAGCACTAGGCTAACTGTGGTGGGACAAAGGGACAGAGTGACTGCCACTCAGCCTCAGCTCTGGCTCCTCTTATTCAAGTGCCAACCTGCAGGTCCAGGACTTGGCCACAAGGGGCTCTCCCCTTTGACTCTGCCCAGCTGAGGAGGGCTCTGTGGGAACAGGCCTGCCCAGATGAATGAGTGGCTCAGGCGGTCTCTCCTTTCAGAGATCTCCAAGTGCTGAAGCCTGACAGCACCCTTTGGGGGACTTCTCCTGATGTTTTCCTTCTTATCCATCTAGAAGATAGTGTTTTATATCTTAACGACATTCATCCTTGCTTTCCCATGAGCCTCTCTTCTTGCCGCCCCCAAGTCACCAAAGGGAGAAGACACCTCTACTTTTGTCAGTTACACCTCCTTTAGATGAGTGCTGAGCCTAAACCATAAGCCCTCTGTCCTCAACGTCTCCTGACTTTTTCCCCTTCTGTCTCCCCACTGCCATCCAGGTTCGAGGCTTCCTTTCTCTGGCCAGGATTAATGCAATGGCTTCCTGTCTCCAGACAGCCCCTGCTCATCAATTCCACACCCTGCAGGTAGAGCGATCATACTCCCATTAGGTGCTGGCCCTTCCGTGCCTCCCATGCCCTGGACATTCACACAGCACCCCAGGCACCACAGGATCCAGCTGCCTGATTCTCCAGCCTCATGGGCCTCCTCTCCCCTTGTCCTCCAACCAGCGATACTGAAATACTTGCAAGTGCTGAACGCCATGCTGTTTCAAACCTTTGTACTTGGCATACGTTCTTTTCCGTGGCTTAGCGCTCCCCCCACCCTTACTGGCACCTCCTCCACCTTTCCTCTTGCTCCCATACTGCCTCCTCCTGGCAGAGCCCTATTCATCGTTAATACTGCCAGTTCCTCTGGGAAGCCTTCCCTCACCCACAACGCCTTCTCTTGCCCCAGAACCCCTCCTCTGAGAGGACCCTGTTCCCCGAGCATGAGCCTCTCCTCATATCTGTCCCTCGAGGTTGTGATAATCACCCATGCCGGTCCCGTTTCCTCCTCCGTCTCTGTACCTCCGAGCGGGACCTGGCCCAGCACATGTAGATGCTGCCTGAAAGGGGCTGCGCTGGGGTTGCTCTCTCTCTCTCTCTCTCTCTCTCTCTCTCTCTCTCTCTCTCTCTCTCTGCACCATCACCTCCCGCCTTAAGCAAGTCCTTTTAAATGCTCTGA